GTTTTTGGGTATTTTGATGTGTGTATTTTAAAAATTTGAGAAATTTTTTGAGTTACTATATCTAAAATTGTTAAAAAACTTGTAGGGAAAAAACTTGGGAAAAAACTAATTTGCCAAACAACCCATATAGGAGAGAAGAAGACTCTTAATAGGAAACCTTAGGAGAGACTTTATTGAATACAAAAAAATAAATGGAGAGAGAGGAAGGACCTTAACTCTAGACCAACATTTCCCTCCCATGGAAGAAGAAAAGCTTTTTGGAAGGCTTTTTAGAGAAAAGAGGAAGAAACTTTGATTTGGAAAGAATGAGAGTATTAAACAAATCTTTGGCATCCATAAATTTTTTAACTTTGCCACAAACTGAAAATTCTTTCTTGTGAAAATGGGTTGCTAATTTTTTCTACTTAATTGAAAATAAATACATAATTTAGGTGTATCATCATTGCGCCATTTTACTTAAGAATTAACCTCTTCTCCTTTCCAATTTCTCTCTATTTCTTCACTCCAAAAGGCCTTCTTCATTGGGAAGGAGACTTTTGTTTCTCCTAGGGGCTCCTAATGAGAATTTTCTATATCTCCTACGCGTTCCTAGTGAGATTTTGTGTTTTTTTTTTACTTATTTTATTGTTAGATCTAAATTTATTTCACATCTAATTATCAGATTTAGAATTCTATCTCGATAGATTTCATCATCATTATTCAAGTTTGAAATTGTTGATTAATAGGTCTGGTGATTGCAATACACACTAAAGGAGCTATCGATTTATTTCATTAGAAAAATATTTTGAAACATTTTACACTTTTCAAATCTGTTCATAAATTTTCAAATCCATTATATCTATTAAACTGCTGATCTATTATTTTTAATGCATTTTAACCTGGCATTAGGGTATAATGTAAATCAAATGTGTTGGACGATTTTCAATAATTCGTTAATGCAATTTATTTTTATAAAAAAAAATCATTGTACCATTTAAATAGCTATTTCAAAGATTAAATGTTATTTCTCTCTTTTTTTTCAGTGCAATTTAATAAGTTTACATATAAAAGTTTGTAAAAATTGGTATAGTAGTTTAACATTTGAACATAATAATTTTTTGAAATAAATATAAATCATTTGTAAGAAAATTCTCTATATCTCTCTATTGAATAATTCATGTGTTCCATAGGTTCACAATTATTTAAAATAAAAAACGTCCCATGTTGACGCACTGGTTGAAATACTAGTAAATCTTGAGTTCAATTACTCTGGAAGTGCTAGTCTTTCCAACGACCATGGTTCTAAAATTTCTTTATAGTACAACAAATAATTAAAAACAGAACTATCAATCATCCAATATTAGCAGAAATATGTGCAAAAGCAAAGCATACAATTTTAAATGGGACACTTATCCTACATGAAACTCTAAGTCGACTTTTTTTTTTTTGGAAAAACTTTTCCAAGAAATAATTGTTGGCCCCCCCGATATGATGAACTGATCAGGGTGGATTAAACCCGATCAATGCCCTTGGTTGCACTGCGGCAACAAATTTCAGACCCAATGGGATGTTGGCGGCACAAAGTCCAGACCGCAACATGATTTTTGAGAAGTTGGCGGCACAAAACAAGCCCAACGGGATTTTGAGAAGTTGGCAGGCATAAAAACCAAGGCCAACTTGAATTTTGAAAGTTTGGCGGCACGAAAACCAGGCCCAACTTGATTTTGAAAAGTTGGCGGCACAAAACCAGGCGCCAACGTGATTTTTGAGAAGTAGTGGGCAATAAAAAACCAGGCCCCAAACTTGATTTTGAAGGTTGGCGGCAGCGAAAACCAGGCCCAACCGTGATTTTTGAGAAGTTGCGGCATAAAAACAAGACCCAACTTGATTTTGAAGGTTGGCGGCACGAAACCAGGCCCAAACGTGATTTGAAAAGGTTGGCGGCACGAAAACCAGCCCAACCCACGACGTGATTTTTAAGAGGTTGGCGCGCGAAAACGACAGGCCCAACTTGATTCTCGAAAGGTTGGGCGGCACGCAAACCAGGCCCAACGTGATTTTGAAAGGTTGGCGGCACGAAAACCAGGCCCAACTTTGATTTTTGAAAAGTTAGCGGCATAAAAACCAGGCCCAACTTGATTTTGAAAGGTTGGCGGCACAAAGTCTAGACCCAACATGATTTTTGAGAAGTTGGCGGCACGAAAACCAAGCCCAACGGGATTTTTGAGAAGTTGGCGGCATAAAAACCAAGCCCAACTTGATTTTTGAGAAGTTGGCGGCACGAAAACCAAGCCCAACGGGATTTTTGAGAAGTTAGCGGCATAAAAACCAGGCCCAACTTGATTTTGAAAGGTTGGCGGCACGAAAACCAGGCCCAACTTGATTTTGGATTTTGAAAGGTTGGCGGCACGAAAACCAGGCCCAACTTGATTTTGAAAGGTTGGCGGCACGAAAACCAGGCCCAACATGATTTTGAAAGGGTTGGCGGCACGAAAACCAGGCCCAACATGATTTTGAAAGGGTTGGCGGCACGAAAACCAGGCCCAACTTGATTTTGAATCTTTCTGAAATTTTTTTTTTTTTTTTTTTTTGAGAGAATTTTTTTCAAAAATAATTTGCCCCAAGTGTAGGGCTCTTTTCCCTTCTTTCTTCGCTTTCTTCGGCATCGGCCTTTCACATCACCAGATGCTCTTTCGTCGACTTCAACTATTGATACCTGCACAGGGCTTACCAAAATATGACATGCACTCAAATTTTGTGAAAAGAAACAGCGTGATTGATTTGAAAAATGCATTATTTTAATTCTTGGACGAAATCCTCCATTGAACTACAAAAATATTTGCCCCTGTGTGGGTTTATTCTCACAAATTCTCATAACAAAAATTTGCCCCAGTATGGGCTTATTAGAGCTTGGATCTAAAAGAAAAATAGAAATAATTGTAGTAATAGATAATACCACCACCATCCGATCAATCTTGCTTTCAAGAAATGTTTAAACATGAGCACTTGGGCGTTTTCCCTCGATGTAGCGAAACTTAATTTTGCTTTATGAATTGTGCCAAGTTCCCCAACTTCCAATGCTACTAAGACCCTGGGTATCCAGCCAATCATAGGGGTTGCTGTTTGCTAAACTCGTAACCCAACTTCGCTCCTGGAATCACATCGTATCCTCTCGACTTTTGATGCTGATAAGACACTTGATATCCAGGTAACTCCAATAAATCGCAGGGATTGCCATTGGATAAATCCAAAGAGATGAATAAAACCATGAAACAAATAAAAGAATATTCTATGTACACAACAAATGATGAAAATCTCACGTAAATTTGAAAACAATCATCCATTTTGAGAAAAAATTAATTTAAGAAAAATGAACCTGTAAACTTAAAATTTTATGTGTAATGAACTAAAATACTTTGATTCCTCATTTGACCTTTTGGATATCGTTCTTCCGGAGTTTGATGTTGGCAACAAAACCACAAGGTGAAGGGAAATTTTAATGAACTAAGACACCGATTTTCCAGATCCAAACTCATTTCTCCTTATGAAACCCGACCTTAACGCCCTTGCAGGTATTCACTAAGGCTACCACCCCACCTTTTCTTTTTTTCCGCTCTTCTTCTTTTTCCTTTTTTTTCCTTTCTTTTTTTTTCACAGGTGCCTTTTTTCGAATTTTCACCTGATGAACAAATCTTGCCAATAGCCTTTATCAACTCAAAAAATGTGTTTTAAGAAATAATGGCATCAGTGCGGCAACCCCTTCCCTTATAAAATGAGTGAAGGCGTACTGACATCATTTGCCATGTGACTTAGAAAATTTCCTTAAAAGAGGTGATGCCAAGAATGGAAGTCAGGACTTTTTGGCTTTTATAATGGGGTCTGGTGAGGTGCTTAGAAAAGTTAAGGCTTGAAAGCAGATTTCTGAAAGTGGTTTAACAGACCTGAGATCGCACTGTTGCATTGACCCTATTTTAGGGCGAAATCAAAACTTGCCCCAGTCTATTTTAAATTTGAGGTTCTTTTCTTTTCCATTTTTTCTCTTTTGATGGATTTCTCCTTTTGGCTTTTTGCCATTCTTTTGAAATTTTCAAAATTTGCCCCAGTTTATACTCAACCGAGGTTCTTTCTTTTCTGTCTTTTGCTTTTTGTTGTTTTAGCACTTTTCACCTCTCGGGGCTTTTCTTTCCTTTTCCAATTTGCCCCAGTGTGGGGTTTGCGATTCTCAGGGGTTGCCAAACGAAATATTTTATTCTGAAGGCTCAAAAGGGATAACTAGGGATAAAATGTCTCAAAAGGAAATGAAGAAGGCCTGACTTTCATTCCATTCTTTGCATTAACCCTTGAAAGGAAACTTTCGTTTATCAAATGAAGAATTTCTTACACATATTTGAATTGATCGGCTGAGGGAACATTTGCCCATCTATTTCTGTGAGAATGAGCGCTCCCCCGGGCAGAAATTTCTGGACAAATAAAAGGGTGCTGCCAATTTGGTACCCAATTGCTCTTAGTTTCCTCTTTGCACTGGCAAACTTCTTTTCAATACTTTATCTCCTTCTTCGAACACTTTTCAACTTTTCATTCAAAATGAATGCTAAATTCATTTCTTTAACATTGATCCCAATTCAGTTCGAGTTTCTCTTTATACCATCTGAGTCTTTTTGAACTATCTCTGGATGTCCTCTCTTATTACTCCTTTCATTTTGAAATTCCAATTCACACTCGTGAGATATTGCTATTATCAAAATTCAGAACAGTGATATCCAAGAGAGGTCGGGGAATTTGAAAGAATGCGTAAGTAACAAAAAGTATAGAAAACTGTACACACATTTTTTCATTTCAAGATGAAGATCAAAACATGTATTCAAAGTCACTTGATTGAAAACTATTTACAGAAAACAAATTAAACAAAAGACACACACGTGAATGATTTTCATTGGTTTTAACCAAAACGAATCCCCCAATTTATCGAAATTCCTTTTAAGAGGGCGGAATCTCACTAATTCAGCCCCTTTTCAGGTTTCTCAAATTTCCTCATGAGGGGTGGATGTCTCAAAGGCGTCCTTATGTTTAGGAAAAGGATTTGTACTTACACTCGATCCTTGTATATCCTTTTCCCTTAGCACTATTTCTCCGACCTCGATCATATCCTGGACTTTATGTTTCAATGCCCGACAATTATTGGTGGAATGCCCCGGAGCTCCAGAATGATAAGCGCAGACGGCTTGAGGGTCATAGTCAGAGGGAAAACGGTTAAAATAGATCTTAGGAGGTATAACACCAATTTTCCCGACTGCTTTCAATTGCTCATATAATTGGTCAACAGGCCGACCCAAATTGGTGAAAGTTCGGTATGGCGTTGGATTTTGGGTGTCACTGGTTTGGTGATAGTGGTAGGTCGGGTTGACGGGTAAAGTGGATCTTGGATGATAAGGAGGGTGAGGTCTAGTTGGAAAGTTTGGTGGAGAAGTATGATATGGTATAGTGGATGTGTTTGGGTAATTTGGCCGGGGTCGAGGATGGTGAATAGGGCGAGAGTTTGGGTAGTATGGGTAGGTGGATGAATAAGTAGGGTGATTTGAAAATCTAGGTCTGGCTGAGGGGCTCTGTTTCCCAACAAAAGCAGTTTCCCTTTCTTTTCCCTTAAATTGGGACTTCTTCTCACTGTTATTCTGTCCTTGCAGAGCCTCTAATTGCATCTTCAATGTTGACACGTTAACAATTTTCCCGGCCTTCACAAACTCATCAAATTCTTCCAATTTATTAACCATCTCGGCAAAGGAACACCCGGTCATTCGAAAAATTTCCTCAAAGTAGGGCGGGTCATGAGCTTTGATGAACGTGCGAATAATCTCATTTTCAGTCATGGGAGGCTCTACTTTGGCAGCCAATTTCCTCCATCTTTTTGCATACGTCTTATGGTCCTCCGATGGCTTCCTCTTGGTTCCCTCAAGTGTGGACCTCGTTGGAGCAAGCTCGCAATTGTATTCGTACTGCCTCATAAAAGCGGTTGACAAATCCATCCAAGATTTCATATCCTCAGGCTTCAAATTGGAGTACCAATCCAACGCGTCACCTTCTAGACTCTCGGGAAATAGGCGCACAGGTAGATTCTCATCATCTATCGGCTTCCCTAGCTTGTTTGCAAACATCCGAAGGTGTGTTTTGGGATTGCCATTTCCATCGTACTTGCTAAATTTGGGCGCTTTGAAACCCACCGGCAATTGCATATCTGGAAACAGGCATAGTTCGCTATAGTCTAGACCTCCTTGCTCGCTCACACCTTGGCTTTTCCTTATAAACTCCTCAAAACGGTCCAGGCGCTTTAGCAACTTCATATCAACGGGAGCAGAAGATCCTCCCACCTCTGGTTTGGTTTGAATAACATGGTCTGGCAGGTAAGGCTCAGTGGTGGGGTAATAAAAAGTATGTGGCTCATGTGGTATATTTGCAGTGACTTCAGGTTGAGGACCTTGCATTTGAGTAGGGAGAAATGCAGGATTAGGAGGGTAAGTGTATGGTAGATGGATGGTGGGGTAGGTGAAAGTCCCTTCAGGTGGACCTTGCATGGAAAAAGTGGTTTGCATTGTAGGAATGATAAATGGTTCGAATTCCATTTGTTTAGTGGACGCAAGCTCAGGTTGCACTCCACTACCAACGAGCTCATCAATTAATTTCTTTTGGGCGGTCATTGTAGATGCCATTTCCTCAAACTTGGTAAGTAGTTCGGCCAACTGAATTCCAGGACTTGTAGTTTCCGACTGAGTAGTTGCCATGGTCTTATCGGATGATTGAGGCTTAGTAGTCATGTTTACACGATTCTCTTAAGCTTTACTCCGGGATCGTGTGATAGTGGGGCTTTTCGAAAAGCTGTTTTGAAATTTTACCTGAGGATGCAAAAGATACCTTTAGATAAACAAATCGTTTGGTAGATTTCTGCAACTCACTAAAAAGGGAAAAAGAAAAAAAGAAAAAGACATGAGTTAGTGATTGTTCAAACAATTCAGATGCATGTCCTATGGAGGGACCCTTTTTGTGCCAAGGGTAGGCCTAGAATGAAAATGCAATCCGCTAGAATAGGCACCATACAATACCTGATGAATCCGATCAGTTGATTGGGTGAAAAAAAATGATTTGAAAAATTTGGCCTCTAATTGGAGTGAAAAGACACGTTTGTCCTAAAAATTAGGACAAAGTCCGAATGGATTGCTTGCCTTGATTGACACAAAAAATGACGTGTAAAAGAGATTGCAATGTTTAGACTAGGTCATTCAGTGAACCTTAGACCGAAACCCTAAGAGAGGGAAATCTGGTCAAATGCATAGGATGAAATTGATGGTTTATTCAAAAATTGACTAGATTACCTTAAGAAGGGTAAAATGGTCAAATGCATTGAATGAAATTTGATTATTTATTCAAAATCGAATGGATAACCCTAAAAAATGAATTAAATGAATCAAATGAACTAAATGAAATCAATTGATCAAACGCATTGAGTGAAATGATGATTTATTCAAAATCGACCGTATGACCCTAAAAAGGGTAAATTGGTCAAATGAATTGAATGAAATTGATGAATTGACCGAACGACCCTAAAAAGGGTAAATTGGTCAGATGAATTGAATGAAATTGATTTATTCAAAAATTGACCGAATGACCCTAGAAAGGGTAAATTGGTCAGATAAATTGAATGAAATTGATTTATTCAAAAATTGATCGAATCACCCTAAAAAAGGGTAGATTGGACAAATGGACTAAATGAAAACTTGATTTATTCAAAATTGGTTCGATTGCCCTACCAATGGGTGAATTAGCCAAATGAATGAAATGATATTGATCGACTTATGCAAAATCGACTGGATGACCCTAAAAAGGGTAAATTGGTCAAATGAATGGATGATTTTTCAAAAATTGACCGGATGACCCTAAAAAGGGTAAATTGGTCAAATGAATGAATTGGTCAAATGATGAATGAATTGACAAAATGGATTGGATAAAATGGATGATTTATTCAAAAATCGACCGAATCGCCTTCGAAAAGGGTAAAATGGTCAAATGCATTTATTCAAAATTGAATGGATAACGCTAAGAATGAATTAAACTAATCAAATAAATTGCATGAAGTCAATTGATCAAACAGATCGAGTGCAACGATGATGATTTGACCAACTCGCCCTAAAACTAGGCAAATCGGTCCAATGGATCGAATGATTGATTCAAAACTGACTAGATCACCCTAAAAAGGGTAAACTAGTCAAATGAAATCGGATAACTTATTCAAAATTGATTGAATTGACCTAAGAAATGAGTAAATTGGTCCAATGAATAAAATGGAGATTGATGATTTATGCAAAAATCGACCAAATCACCCTAGAAGGGTAAATTGGTCAAATGAATTGAATGAAATTGATTTATTCAAAAATTGACCGAATGACCCTAAAAAGGGTAAATTGGTCAAATGATGGTTTATTCAAAATTGATTATGAATTGACAAAATGGATTGATTGAATCGGCCGGCCATTGGTGGTTTCAGAAAATTAGTCTATGAGCCTTCTAAAATCACGATTTGGCCTCAATTTATTCATCGTCTCAACAAGAGGAATCATTTGTGAATTTCTTCAAATTAATGTCCTTTTACGCAAGGGAATTTTACCAATTTTGATAAAAAATGGCCAAAAAGTGGTTCCTAGACGCTCATATCCTAATGTGCAAAAGTTGCTTTATTCTCTTTAAAAGGATCGGATCATTACCTTACCTTGTGCACTACCCCTTTGGATGGTACGAGAAAGGTAAACGTGCAGGTCTCATTGGATTATATATCCGAGACATGGGGTGGTTTATTTCTAAAATGGGATTCCCTATGTGGCATTCCCTTTCTAGGGTTGATGCATGATGCCATTTATTAAAGTAATGTAACTATGTGACAAGTATGGCCTAGAGGACATAAATAATGCATCGGGGGAAAAAGGTCTAAAATGAAATGTATTTATTGAAAATCAAGTGTAATAACTAAAATTTAAACATGTGAGTTATCTAGTGGGTGAGTCACTAAAAGAGTACCAAAGAGTCCTCTTATTGCTAAGGCACATGAATGCAAGCCAAGAAAATAAAAGAATAGTTAGTGCAATTGATAGTACACATAACACATTGGGAGCAAATAAAAAAAAGAAATACAATAAAAGCAAATAAAAGGGGTGGAACCCCTTCCCTCGTGCCTAAAGTGCTTAAAAGAGGGTGAGGCTGACTCTAACCTAGGCAAATGCTAACATGGATGCATGAGACTGGGGCTCACTAATGCAACTAGACTCGATAAGGCTTCGGCTCCCAAGCCTTCAGACCTAAAGGCAAAGGGTCATCACTCCCAAGGCCTTCGATCGGTGGCTCGAGTGATCCCTTAGGTAGCGCTATGGGCGCAGCGCACACCAGCCGCCTACCCAAGGCGATCGATCCTAATCCTACAAGGCGGTGTGGGAAACGCCCACGAAAAAATAAAATAAAGTGGGATAACAATAAGTAAACGTGCACGTATGAAGTGTTCCCTATTTTGAGGAAAGGGGTTGAGAACCACACAAGGCTCTAAAGGTGACACACACCCCCCCAAAATGCAATGCATAGCGCGAAATCATACATAAATAAATCATCCATCCATCCAAACAATCGTAGGCGAATGTGTGAGGAAGTGAGTTGATATGCGAAATGCAAAAATCCTAGAAAAGGGAAAAATGCAACTCTAAACATCCAAATGTGATAAATAAAAAGGTTTAAAAGAAGAAAAAGATTGATTAAATCAAATTTGCTCGGACTCTCGAATGTCCCCAGTGGAGTCGCCAACTGTCGCGCCCCATTTTTTGATAAAATAAATAAATTAATGGTTTGGAAAAATGTATTTGTGATTTGGAAAATGAATTGTGATTTAAAAGAAAGATGGGTCTAAATGGGACTTTTGAAAATGCGACGATTTGACCCAAGAAAAATAGTTCAAAAAGGTTTTTTATATGAAAAATGGAGTCGCCACTTGGTATAGAGTTAGGGTGTACCAAGTCACCCAAAAAGTGAATTTTTAAAAGGGAAAAAAGTAGAAAACCCTTTTGAACGACTCCTAGTCCACGTAAACCAACGAAAAAGGTTCGGGAGTCACATTTGACGAAGGGGAAGGCAAGGATAAAAATCCAAGGCACCCCTTCGACCTAGCCAAGGCTAGTTGCGTTGATTTAATCAAAGATTTTCTTATTTTAACCAAAGAATTTATTACATTTGGATGTACTACATGAATGCAAAACCCTAGACCTAGGGGTATTGGGGGAAATTTTCCTTCAAAGGTTGAGTGGTGCCAATCACATTAATTGTGAAGCCCAATAACGATCCTTTGAAGAAGTCACGAATAATGCGAGTGGGATGCAAATGAATGGAATGCATGTATGCAATGTGAGGACTTGAGTTTGAAAAAGTAATAGAAAACAAAGATGCATAAGTTAAAATGTGCACGTGAGTGGGCAAGGTATGGTATGTGCGATGGTAATATGAAGTGCATGTGTGCAAGTGATGATAAAAAGTGTTAGTGTGCAAGTGAAGGGATAAAGAGATGCACGTGTGCAAAAAGTGTTCGTGTGCAAGTGAAGGGATAAAAAGATGCACGTGTGCAAAAAGTGTTCGTGTGCAAGTGAAGGGATAAAAAGGTGTACGTGTGCAAATGGGAGGAAAAAAAGAAAGTGTAATGATAGAATGGATGCATGAACCTAGGGAATTCATGCATAATGGGTACGGGGAGACCTAAATCGTGACTCAATTTGCCCTTTGATAGAGAGGATACAAGCGTGCTAAGGCTTAGAACAAGCCACACTCGTCTATATCCCATATTTAAGGGGACTCTCAAGCAAATGAACCCTATAACTAGCATGTAATGCAAAAATCCTAAAATGGAGGGAAAAGGGGGTCGAGGGGCATGCAAAAATGATAAAACTAAGGAAAATGCGTGATATGTGGTGAACAAGCAAATGATATACTAACGAGGAAAATCCCTAAGGGTCTAGCGTTGGACTAGCCCATTCTATGAATTCCGACTAGCGTTGGACTAGTGGAAACGATAAAAGAAGCCACAACTAGCGTTAGACTAGTGTGGTGACGTACATTCATCCATTCCATTCATTCATGGTTATGAAAGCAAGTAGACATGCCAAAACGCTCGTAAACACGTAGCACGTAGCACTTAGCATGCTCGACTAGATGCAAGAGCCTACTAAAGCAATTTAACATGTAACAGCAAAAGCAAGCAACCAAGGGGAAGGGGAAGTGGACCAAATGCTCGCCGAGCCCTATCTATTACAAGCCAAGAGGTGTACACATACCCCATTAATAAAACTTAAATAAAAAGCAAAAGTAAATGGCATAAATAAAAGAAATTAAGGAAAGGCTCAGAAAGCAAAGTAGACATGTATTTCTCACGTAGCACGTTGGTTCACATAGGAGAGACACAAAAGATAAAAGAAGATATACCGCCCTTGAAATGAAGCTCTAATAGAGTGAAATCAACTTATTTATCCTCCAAAATAAAAGAAATGGTCAAGGCACCAATTTATTTGAAGAAATTAAAGAAAATATGCAAACACGGGCTCACATGGTCATAAAGCTCTTAAATTCATGCATGAAGTGCAATTTAAACAAAGCAAGGTGGCTAATTGGAATCAAACAAACAATGAAGTTGCAGAAATTAAAACTACCAAGGACCAAATTGATGAAATTATTTAATTGATTGGGTCCTAGTGGAACCAGGAGAGACTTGGGGGGCCAGAATGTAAAATTTGAAAGATCT